TTTCCTATGGGGAAAAAGTGAAATTTTCCTGCAGGACTGTGTCTGGGTAAACGAGAGCTTTCGAATGATACCCATTTTTACCATAGCACCACTTTTTTGTCCGTACAAAGGCGATTTTACAGATATTTTACGAGTCTAGGGGGCTTTACGGGCCTTAAACGTCAATGCAACGGGGACCGTTTTGGGGAAAGTTTCTCGGCTGGTGGTGGGGCACCTGTGTGCCGATTTTGAACGAAATCGGGGGGGACCCCCCATTGACCCAAAATTTTGATTTTCCCGTACAAACTTTCCTATGGGGAAAAAGTGAAATTTTCCTGCAGGACTGTGTCTGGGTAAACGAGAGCTTTCGATTGATACCCATTTTTACCATAGCACCACTTTTTTGTCCGTACAAAGGCGATTTTACGGATATTTTACGAGTCTAGGGGGCTTTACGGGCCTTAAACGTCAATGCAACGGGGACCGTTTTGGGGAAAGTTTCTCGGCTGGTGGTGGGGCACCTGTGTGCTGATTTTGAACGAAATCGGGGGGACCCCCCTATTGACCCAAAATTTTGATTTTCCCGTACAAACTTTCCTATGGGGAAAAGGTGAAATTTTCCTGCAGGACTGTGTCTGGGTAAACGAGAGCTTTCGAATGATACCCATTTTTACCATAGCACCACTTTTTTGTCCGTACAAAGGCGATTTTACGGATATTTTACGAGTCTAGGGGGCTTTACGGGCCTTAAACGTCAATGCAACGGGGACCGTTTTGGGGAAAGTTTCTCGGCTGGTGGTGGGGCACCTGTGTGCCGATTTTGAACGAAATCGGGGGGGACCCCCCATTGACCCAAAATTTTGATTTTCCCGTAATAACTTTCCTATGGGGAAAAAGTGAAATTTTCCTGCAGGACTGTGTCTGGGTAAACGAGAGCTTTCGAATGATACCCATTTTTACCATAGCACCACTTTTTTGTCCGTACAAAGGCGATTTTACGGATATTTTACGAGTCTAGGGGGCCCTACGGGCCTTAAACGTCAATGCAACGGGGACCGTTTTGGGGAAAGTTTCTCGGCTGGTGGTGGGGTACCTGTGTGCCGATTTTGAACGAAATCGGGGGGGACCCCCCATTGACCCAAAATTTTGATTTTCCCGTACAAACTTTCCTATGGGGAAAAAGTGAAATTTTCCTGCAGGACTGTATCTGGGTAAACGAGAGCTTTCGATTGATACCCATTTTTACCATAGCACCACTTTTTTGTCCGTACAATGGCGATTTTACGGATATTTTACGAGTCTAGGGGGCTTTACGGGCCTTAAACGTCAATGCAACGGGGACCGTTTTGGGGAAAGTTTCTCGGCTGGTGGTGGGGCACCTGTGTGCCGATTTTGAACGAAATCGGGGGGGACCCCCCATTGACCCAAAATTTTGATTTTCCCGTACAAACTTTCCTATGGGGAAAAAGTGGAATTTTCCTGCAGGACTGTGTCTGGGTAAACGAGAGCTTTCGATTGATACCCATTTTTACCATAGCACCACTTTTTTGTCCGTACAAAGGCGATTTTACGGATATTTTACGAGTCTAGGGGGCTTTACGGGCCTTAAACGTCAATGCAACGGGGACCGTTTTGGGGAAAGTTTCTTGGCTGGTGGTGGGGCACCTGTGTGCCGATTTTGAACGAAATCGGGGGGGACCCCCCATTGACCCAAAATTTTGATTTTCCCGTACAAACTTTCCTATGGAGAAAAAGTGAAATTTTCCTGCAGGACTGTGTCTGGGTAAACGAGAGCTTTCGAATGATACCCATTTTTACCATAGCACCACTTTTTTGTCCGTACAAAGGCGATTTTACGGATATTTTACGAGTCTAGGGGGCTTTACGGGCCTTAAACGTCAATGCAACGGGGACCGTTTTGGGGAAAGTTTCTCGGCTGGTGGTGGGGCACCTGTGTGCCGATTTTGAACGAAATCGGGGGGGGGACCCCCCATTGACCCAAAATTTTGATTTTCCCGTACAAACTTTCCTATGGGGAAAAAGTGAAATTTTCCTGCAGGACTGTGTCTGGGTAAATGAGAGCTTTCGATTGATACCCATTTTTACCATAGCACCACTTTTTTGTCCGTACAAAGGCGATTTTACGGATATTTTACGAGTCTAGGGGGCTTTACGGGCCTTAAACGTCAATGCAACGGGGACCGTTTTGGGGAAAGTTTCTCGGCTGGTGGTGGGGCACCTGTGTGCCGATTTTGAACGAAATCGGGGGGGACCCCCTCATTGACCCAAAATTTTGATTTTCCCGTACAAACTTTCCTATGGGGAAAAAGTGAAATTTTCCTGCAGGACTGTGTCTGGGTAAACGAGAGCTTTCGAATGATACCCATTTTTACCATAGCACCACTTTTTTGTCCGTACAAAGGCGATTTTACGGATATTTTACGAGTCTAGGGGGCTTTACGGGCCTTAAACGTCAATGCAACGGGGACCGTTTTGGGGAAAGTTTCTCGGCTGGTGGTGGGGCACCTGTGTGCCGATTTTGAACGAAATCGGGGGGGGGACCCCCCATTGACCCAAAATTTTGATTTTCCCGTACAAACTTTCCTATGGGGAAAAAGTGAAATTTTCCTGCAGGACTGTGTCTGGGTAAACAAGAGCTTTCGAATGATACCCATTTTTACCATAGCACCACTTTTTTGTCCGTACAAAGGCGATTTTACGGATATTTTACGAGTCTAGGGGGCTTTACGGGCCTTAAACGTCAATGCAACGGGGACCGTTTTGGGGAAAGTTTCTCGGCTGGTGGTGGGGCACCTGTGTGCCGATTTTGAACGAAATCGGGGGGGAGCCCCCATTGACCCAAAATTTTGATTTTCCCGTACAAACTTTCCTATGGGGAAAAAGTGAAATTTTCCTGCAGGACTGTGTCTGGGTAAACGAGAGCTTTCGATTGATACCCATTTTTACCTCCTTGTGACGTCATTTCTAGGGGAAAACTGGTCATAAAGGTTTCCCTCTACCGGGGCCTTTTTCCCCCTACCGAATCTGTGCTGTGCTGAACCTGTGCTGAATCTGTGCCAACTTCCGTTACATACTAATGGTTTATTTATAATAAAAAATGGACTAGCGAGAGTCGTGCCGGAATCAGAATTCAATGTTCTACAAAACTAAGCCATTTTCATTGTGATCACGTCATAGACTTCACCGCCCAACCCAATAAAGCAGAAATATGTCGTGTCACCGGTCATTACATGCAAGAATTCTTTGGCATATAGCATAAAAACCAGAACACCTTTGACTGCAGCGACTATGCGGTACTACAGAAAATTGTATGGCCTGCCTAATGGTGCCCATTACTTAATAATTAAGTTGAGTATTTCGTCGCCTAACTCTTGTAAAACCGTATGTCCGCTTGTCTATGGAGTTAGGACCGTAACGTGTAACGAAATAAACTAGTTGGCATCCAACCTCACAAGTAGTATGTGGAATGTGTGTCTGCGAAAGGATTGGTTCCTTTACGACGCCAAACAAACCACTTCAGTAACCCTCTTCGTTGACTTGCATTGGCGAGGTCGCCGCGACCTCTGGTAGGTTCAGGTTAAGAAACCTTGTTATACCTCGTTATAGGAAGAAGAAAAGCACCATTCTGTTCTCAGCATCTCAGACGCACCTCAAGTCGCTGCTTAAACGGCATCGGACAGCGTTAACGAGGCTATTGTCATTATTGACTAATTGGCTTTCATTACCCTGAACACGTGTGCCGCATCACTAAATTCCCGCAGCCTTTTGTGAACTACCCGTGATCTCAAACATACCTAGCACAGGTTCTGTGCACTCAGGCAACTCATCCCTGCACGCAGGCAACTCATCCCCAGTCAGTGTCAGTCGCGTTATGGAAAAGATCCGTTAGACGTGGGTTAACCGTTAGCGTGATCTGAGGATCCGACCTTAACCCGCGCACCGACTGGGGGGCAGGGGGATATCCGCCCCCCTGAGGTTTTTCGCGAATAGCGGGAAAACCGCGGCGCGAAGCGCCGCGAAATTTGGTATGACTATAACCTCATCAATTTTACACATGGTGTGCAAGTTTGAACCTCCTACCTTTTAAGGTCAGGTCACCAGGTCACTTTGAATGACCCAACCTCAAGTCACTTTTTTGCAACTTTGTCACCGTGCCAGAGCTACAGTAGATGTCGGAGGCCTTTGAAAGTCGCAGGATGTTATTAGGTCATTAGTAGCTACAATTTGTATATCTCGGAATTTCGATATCGGTGACCTAAGGTCAGGTCAATTTCGCGACCTCCCCATTATAAGTCAATGGGGGAAAAATCAACTCCCTGTTTTTACCACTAAAACGGGTCGGAATGGCCCCATATACCATACATGACTTCATATACGATCAACCTTCACTACCTTGAGGTCTGTTTTGCTGTTGGGCAGCTGTGAGGTCATGTGACGTCATCAAAGGTCACCAAAGGTTTTTGGCCAATAACTCCGTACAGGAACAAGATACAGACGCGTGGATGGTCTCATTGTGTTCAGCTCGTCAAGACGCATCGAATGATATACATGATGACCTCGAGGTCACGTGACCTGAGGTCAACCTTTGACCTTGACCTTTCGAGGTCAACATATATATCATTCGATGCGGATTGACGAGAGGATCACGATGATGCCCTTAGTTTGTTCCTATCTTGACTATTTCGAAAGTTATTCGAGAAAAACTCTCTCCATATCTAGCGCCGCCATTTTGACTTTTTCGACCCCTGTGACGTCATCTTTGACCTGACCTGAAAATGACCTTAGTAAAAATTGTAGATCCTGGCCATGCGTATCCGATGCCGTTTACCGCTTGTCGCTATCTTGCTTCGTTCTCGAGATCTCAGGGGGGGCGGTCATCCGCCCCCCCCCCCCCGTCGGTGCGAAGTTGGCGCAGACCCCCGTCGGTGCGCGGGTTAAATAAACCAGTCCACAACGCGTTTCAAATATCCCACATCGACCGAGATCTTAAAACACAGACATGCGTGATTATTGACTGTAAATATTACATTAAATTAGAATATCACAGTAGTTAATAACGTGCAGTCAGCATCCAGCAGCAGAGCACATCACTCAGTAGGTACTAGCACCATATCCGCAAAACAAGGCACAACCATCTCATCAGCTATATCAGCTAGACAGCTACACATTCACTCGGGTCACTTCTTTTTGGTCGGCTTGGCCTTTCTGCCAGCCTCCATTTTGTTGAGTGTTTTGTCCAGTTTGATGTGGAGGAGGGCCTTTCGGCGCTCCTCCTCGGCCGAGTTTTTGGCGCGGTTCTGCGCACCCGAGATGAATTTGACGCGGGCGTCTCGCCGCGCCGCCTCGCCACACCCGTGGGCCTCGGCCATCCAGTGTGAGAGGCAGAACACGCGCTGGCAGTAGGGACATGTCTGACGGATGGAGATGCCGCTAGAACACTTGGGCTCGATGTTACAGCGCTTGTTCATGCTGGCAAACGATGAAACGAGCGAGTCAAAGTCGTCTGCGTCCTCCGCAGGCGTCTCCGAAGGGCGACTTTTACTCTTCTTTGATTTGTTCGGTTTGGTGGGTTTCGGCTGGGTGGTGGTAGGGGCAGCAGCAGTGGCGGCGGGCGGCGGAGGCCGAGCGCAACGTAATGCGTGAAGTTCAGCATTGGCTTTGGGAATCTCCTTACCACAGTTATCACATTTGACTGTTGCGATCACCAGCTGTGGCTCAGACGCTTCAACCCTCTGGCCAGGGGCGGAGTTTGTCCGAGAAGTTGCACGCTCAGCCGTGGTGGATCCACCAGAGGCTGTCTTATCACCGCCCGGTAGTTTGGCCGCAGAGCTGCTGACCGGCACGCCGTCAGCGCCATCTACATGGACAGGCGGACTACGGGCGGCGCTGGGGTCGCCAGCCACGTCACCGCCAGCCGCCTCCGCCCGCTCGACCGTCACATACCGCTGTTTGCCCTCCCCACAGCTCGTGTGGATTAGACCCAGCTCCTCAGATACCTCGTGAACCTTCATCCGCTGGAATGAGTTCAGCGTGGCGGGGAATGCCAGATTGCTCTGCGAGGAGGAGACGAACTCTTCCAACTTCTGACGTACTTCGTCCTCAAATGTATCCTCCTGATCCACTTCCTCTTCAGCTCCAGGTTGAGCGCCAGCGTCGGTCCGCTCTAGTGCCGGTGGCTTCACAGGAACGCTGGCAGGACGGGACTTTTGGCCAGACTTCGCCGCCGGTTTTGCCTTCGTCGCCTTGGTGTTCCCGTTTCTGGTGGTCTCTTTTGTTTTCTGTTTGGACTCGTGTTTGCGCGGCGCGGCCGGCGTTACTGTGGCCGGGCCGATGTCCCGCTCGTACACGTGTGCCGAGCACACCTCCCCCAGCTGGGTCATGTGGTCAATCAGCGACCTCAGGAACGGGTCGGCCCCCACAGTCGCCGTGTCGCACACGACGAACAGCTGCCGACGCGCGCGAGTCACCGCCACGTTAATACGACGTTGTTCTGCCAGGAAGCCGACCTCACCGCGCTTATTTGAGCGCACTAGTGACAGCAGAATGGCCTCCTTCTCTCGTCCCTGAAACCCGTCCACAGAGTTCACCTCTACAGTCAGTCCAGCGGTGCGCAGCCGGTCACGGATCAGGCCCACCTGTAGGTTATACGGCGTGATGATGCCGATCTGGTCAGGTGCTAGACCCGCTTCCACCAGCGAGCGAGCGTGCGAGAGCACAATGTCGGCCTCTCCCTCGTTACCCCCGCGAGCCGGCCTCGTCGGTCTGCACCTCGTCCAGCCGGCAGCCGGCCGTGTCGACGAGCAGCAGCGTCGGACCCGACTCCATCGTCTCCTCGACGGTGGCCAGCTGGGGCAGCCGGTGGCGGCGCACGGCCGGCGCCGCCTCCAGCCGGCCGCCGTACAGCCGCTCGGAAGGCCACTGCTGGATCAGCTCGTGCATCCGGTACTGGGTGCACAGCATGCGCACCGCCTGATCCCCGTGCAGTTCCACCTGACGCTCCATCAGGGAGACGGCCAGGCCGCGACGCGCCGCCTCCTGGCTGACGATGGTCGGAGGCAGCTGGCAGTGGTCGCCGGCCAGCAGCAGCTTCTCTGCGCGCCGCGCGGCGATCCAGCAGGCGGCCTCCACCGACTGAGAGCACTCGTCGATCACCACCAGGTCAAACAGCTCCCCGCCGAGCAGCTTCAGCGGTCCGTCGTCACTGGCGGCCGTCAGAGTGGCGAGCACGACCGCGGCGCGGCGCAGAATGTCGGTCGTCACCCCCTGCTCCCGCTCACGCTGCTCTGCGCGGAGCCGGCGCAGCTGTGCGCGCAGAGCGCCCGCCTGCCCACCGGGCGCGCGCAGCTGCCGCAGTGTATCGTCCATCTCGCGGCGCACCTCTCGCACTACCGCCGAGCCGTCACTGCCGGCAACGCGGGCGTCCAGGGAGAACCCCTGCAGTGAATCCTGTATACGAGCCGGGTGACCTAGACGCACCATCCGCGTGGCACCGGCCGCCCACAGCCGCTCCAGCAGATTGTCCACGGCAGTGTTAGAAGGCGCACAGGCTAGCACGCGCTGTCCCAGTCGCACATGCTGCAGGATCGTCTCAACAACGGTGGTGGTTTTGCCGGTGCCAGGCGGACCGTGGATGATGGCCAGGCGCTTCTGGCGCAGGACGAACTCCACCGCCTGGCGCTGTGATGCGTCCAGGTTAGTGTTCACTAGCTGGAGCTGGCCCTCGGAGTCGAGTAGCTGCGGCGGCAGGCGCGGCATCGGCGGCTCCAGCGCCGTCTCGCCGAACAGAGTGGCTCGCAGCAGTCCGGCGGGTCCGGCCACCAGCGTCTCCAGGCCCTCCATGGCGGCGCGCAGTCGCCGGTAGGTGATGTCGTTAGCCACCTTCAGCACGGTCACCGGTCGGTCATCCAGCTCCTCCGCGGACTCGGCATCCTCCGAGAGGGCCAGCGTCAGCTCGGCGGCCGAGACACGCCACACGACCGCCTGCCGGCCGGCCTCGGTCGGCGGACGGCCGGCCTCCGTCACCGAGACGATGTCGCCCGGCGTCAGCGTGTGGCTGGGCAGCGGCGCCGGCTGGCGGCCGACGCTCGGCTGCCGCAGCACCAGCAGACAGCGGCCGTACAGCGCCGAGCGCCGCTCCGTCGGCTCCAGGCGCGCCAGGCAGACGCCGCGCTCACACAACTGGCGCACGGAGAGCGCGCTGAGCAGGTCGCGCGTCTGCGCCAGCTCGGCCTGCCGCTCCAGCTCCAGCAGCTGCAGATGAAGCTCCACCAGCGCCGCGCAGCTGGTCGGAGACATGTCGGCGCCCGCCTGTGAAAGGTCATGTGTCATGTCACATAAATTACCACAAACAATGGAAACACAGTTTTAGACCTCTGAGGCAAGGATGGTTCTAATAACAAACTAATAGTTGATTCTTTAATTGAGTGGTCAGTTAATGGATAAAAATAACAGCTTGAACACTTAATCGTAGCATGACTATTTGTAAGAGGATAAGTAGCCTACACTCATAGTCATATTGCCCAGAGTCAACATTTCTATGATTTTTTACAATTTGTCACACCTTTTCTGAATGTTACATTGAGTACCTATTGACACACTTTAATGCTTTTAAAATCAGTTCAAACCTTACAACATGTCACCAACATTTGCCAGCACATTTCTTTCTGTTCATATTAAGATGAAATATCTTTATAAACGAAATATCTTATTTTAATAACTTTTTAAAGATATTGATCGGAGTGGCAACATACCTAATGCACTAAAAATACCTTTCTTAGCAGGTTTTGTTCAACTTAAATAACACATTGTTCACTTATCAACTATGATGAGTGAAATTCTGTCAAATTTACCATACCAATTGAATTTCAGCTGACTGCAAGATCCAGGATCAAGCAGATCCAGGATCACACAGTGCTGATTTCACTATACTGACTGCAAAATCCGAGATCAAATTCAGCACATTTTTGAAAAGCCAATCTTATATAGTCCAGTTACAATGCCTTCAAAACTATTGTACGAAAAGACTTAAAGCCAGGAGTAAGTGGGGTCAAGACATTTGCCTATCAAAACACACATACCCTATGGTCAGAATATACAACCCCGAAAGCAAATAGCGTGTAAACCATCAAATGCTGAAGTGGGCAATTTTTTTCTATTTCATTTTTTTTGACGAAAAGTTACTCATAATAACTCATTTTTTCATTTGATGATTTATCACAATAATACCAACCATAGTTCGTAAAGAGCACGCTGCTACCAAGGTAGGTAGGTATCACAGGTATATAAAAACCAAATAAAAACCAAATAAATACACGGCCGTATATGTAAGAATCTTGAGTCCTTGAGTCTTGACTCGCAAGACTCGCCCAAGCGATACCATTTGTGTTTGTGTTGTTATGCGCCTTGCCCTTGTTTGCAAAGTGCGGCAGAATTGTAACGTTGAAAAAGGCTGCAAAATTCCATAAAATAAAAGAATAAATTGGTTGAAATAAGATAGACCTTACAAAAAAATAGCTTGCTTAACCTTATCTATCAATGCCTAACCTAGCTTAGTGCTTATTGCTTACCGAGGATTAGGAAAAAGCTGCTCCGAAAAATAGAATGCAGGGGAAAAGCAATAGTCAATCAAATATTCATTTTGCAGTGTTTTAGTGTTCTTTGATCTCTGATCTATAGGGTCCTGTTCAAGTATCTGCGACCGCCGCGGCTCCCGCGGTCAAGAAGGCTAACGGGCCAATCAGGCGACACACACATGACGGTTGCCGCCGTCCTGATTGGCCCATAACTACGCTCCGCCTTATTGACCGCAGATACTTGAACAGGTTCCTAATTAGATATATCTGGCGCACGCAAGGCTGTCTATGGCGCATGAGCCATGCTGTTTGAGTCAAGTATACGGCCTTGAGTCAAGTTTGAGTCAAGATTCTAGTATAGATAGTTTGAGTCAAGATTCCTATAGATAAAGTAAGAGTCCTAAAGGCCAAGTGGCCTAAATCTCGTACATCGTAAGTAAGAGTTTTGAGTTATAAAAACTGCTGTAGCCGTGGATCTTGTCGACTTTGCAGCCAAGGGCAGGGCAAGGTGATAAATCATACAAATACCAAAAGCCAGGACCATCTATAATAAAGTTGTAGTTTTGTGGCTGCATCATGCATGAAATCTGACAAGGGTAATTTGATTCCAGTCATCAAAAAAAACATTTGCAATTGGTACACATCTGGTAAATATTTGCTGAAGGACTGACTCACTTTTCATAGGTAAATTTTACACATTCTTCCATTTTTGACATCCTAAATCTAGATTAGAGATATGATCCTTACTTCATACATGTCACAAATTTTTTAAACGAATCATTCAAAACTTACCAAACCAGAAACCTGATAAAAATTTTGCCTGCCCATAGATGAAGAAGAAGTTACTCACATGAATAGATTGCAAGCAATGGTAAGTCGGCCTGAAGCATGATGCACAACCACTTAACCTAAAAATATTTGACTTACCATTGCCTGTAAATGTAAAGTCTAATGTCTTCTAAGGCATTGCTTTTGGCACTGCAGTGCTTTGCTACAAGTTGGTGACCAGTCCTAAAGTAAAAAAATAATGATTTATTTGACCTGAATGTCTTAATGTAGCGTAGATAGGTACCTACCCCTGAACAAAGCCACAGCCTATCTCGCCCAAGTTTCCAACCCTTCCATCTGCACCAGTACCCATCTGAGATAGAAGTGACTCAGTATCAACTATCATCCATGTTTTTAATTGCACATACTGAGTGAAACTGATATTTGATAAGTTGTAGTTCTGTTATTTTGCTGTCACTATGGGCCTGTTCCACCACCTCCAGAAAGCTCCGGCCTCCAGAATTCTCCCAATCAGTGTTTCAGTGCCTCCAGATCCACGGCCTCCAGAATTCTCCCAATCAGTGTTTCAGTGCCTCCAGATCCAGTAGGCTCTTGTCAAATCTGGAGAAACCTCCAGTGACTTCCAGTTAGTTGCAAAACCCACATTTGACTGGAGGCTCTGGTCTACAATAACAGTGCAGGTGACAATACTAACTTAAGCAAAGAACTTTTGACAGTTTTTTAGAACTCAAATGTAAAGAACATATTAGTATAATTGTTAAAATCTTACTTATTGAATTCAATGGAAATTTTGTTTTTCAAGAGTGAATTATATTTTTTGTATACCTGACATCAATCACCAGAGATCCCCAGATTGCATTCTAGCACCTCCAGTAAAACTTACTGGAAGAGCCTCCAGTCAAGAAGTCTACTGGAGGCACTGGAACAGGCCTGACTTTTTTCTTAAGCGAATTTCTACACTTCTTGTAGGTAATCAATCCCATCTGATTCTAGAAATGCACCCATCTTTGTTGTCTGAAAAGCAGCATTCTTGCATGTTACATTACAGCAGTTCTGACCTCTGGAGTAAGTCATGGAGGGTTTCATTTTTCTTCTAGATCGTTTAACTCTCATTGGTAAAGGTACATCTGGACTGAGCTGAATAGTGAATGTCATATAATATCTACTCCATGCTTTCCATTCCATGCTTCCATCTATTCCATTCCATGCTTGAGAAGCTTTTCAGTCTAAAAGTCTCTGATGCCAATTAACCTGTTATAGTTTGATTCTAATAATTTTTAAGCTAGCCTTATTAAAGTTTGGAACATTTGCAAGGCTGTCATTGGGTTTCACCGTACCTAGACAGAATAAAATAGTTAA